TATATGTTGCTTACAAGATTAAAAATGATGAGAAGTGAAAAGATATGCCATACAAATACCAAAAATATTTAGCTTGATAATATTAATCAGATAAATTAGAATTTAAGGTAGAAATATTAATGGGAGTCAGAATAATCATGCACCTTGATATATGTAGTAACAAAATAACCTTGAAAAACAGAAAGCAAAGACTGATTGAAATCAGGCCAGATGGGACCAACTAGTGTACACCTTTGAATTCAAAAAGAGTGTTTAATTTTGGTATAATAGGTAAAATGAAGCCGCGATGAATCCTTGAGCAAGAGAGGGTCTTATGAGAGCAGGAATGGGTGTTTAAACTGATTATCCAAGCAATACATGCAGGAAGAACGAAACACTAGGTGCAGTGTTCCTCTATATCAGGTGAGTGTGGTGAATTCAGAGTAAGATGGCAATGGATGAAATAGTTTAAAAAAAAAAAGAGGAGAGACTCTAAAATGCAGTGACAGACTGGATATCAGGGATGACTAATGCAAAGTTCTTAGCAAACAAGAGTGGCAGTACCATATGGGGGAAGAAGTGGGATAATGAGAAGTAAGGCAGTTTTGGGGGAGAGTTTATATAGAGTTTAATTTATTGAGTTTTGAGTAATCTCCATGAAATTATCATTCATTTGACATGGGAAACATTGGAGGCTTAGAGAGGCGGTCTGTCAGTACTTTGCTGCTTTCTCCTCTTATCTATAAGGTGCCCCTAATGTTCTAGAGAGGCATAAATTCTTACCCACTCTCACTTAAAGAATGTAAGGATTGGTAAGGACAGAGGGGGAGTTAAAGAAGAAATTCCAATAGCCAAGGGTTTTCTACCCAGAAGATTCTAGCATCTGTGAGGGTGAAGGTGGGAACATGGCTAGAGTGCTTGTTGGCCTATCCACTTAAAGGAAGATGATTAGTAGCTTTCAGTTCACAGATGCATTCTCCATTGTAATTTGAAGTCATGATTACAGGATTTTTGCTGTTTTGTTCTGAATATTTTTCACCCAAATTTACTATTTTTTAGTTTGTCTACTATACAAGAGATAATTTTGTATCGATGAGAAATATCGCCCCCCCAAAAAATTTTGTCATGAAATTGAGATTCTGTGCAAGTTGCTAACAATCAGAAAGATGCATGAGGTAAGCCTGAATGGTCACTCTCTATAAGGAAGAGGGAGGGAGAGAGACACCTCTACATAGAGTGATGCGGGTGGAAGGTAAGGAGGTTGTGAGAACCACAGATAAAATCAGGGTTTGTAGGGAATATCAGGAAAAACAGCTGACCAATAGAATGGGTGAATTAGCTAGTTAAGCCAAGCAAGAGATGTACAAATGACCTCATGAGAGCAATTGCTGATTGAAGGATAAAGAAGGAGAACTATCAAGGATGGGGAAACATTTACCAGTAGAAGCTTCTGGCATGGGTAGAATTTATCAGTTAATTACTCTAGTTTCATATGGAGAAACTGGCTGACTGAAGAAAAAGCAGACCTGTGAGAAGTCAATGAGAAGGAAGAGGGCAAACCACAACACAGTTGAAAGCAGATTCATCCTCAGATTGAGGTTCCAAGAAGTCAGTGATTGCCCACACTGGTGCATCAGTCTCAGGAACTTTCATTATTAAGACTCTGGCCATGAATCACAAACATTTTAGTTGTGATTCAGATTGTAGAATGGAGAGTGTATAGAGTAAACTTTAGCAATGGAACAGTTTTTTAGTTACTCTGAAGGGTAAGATGAGTTTTGACTTGGCAGCTATGCTGATAAGTAGGCCAACACTGAAAGCTGTTAGCAAGTTATTGAGTGATTGCATTTATGAGAGGTGACACAGTTGGTTGGACAGAAGCAAGGCTTTGTTGCAGATTACTGATATGGGGGTAAAATTGTGGGTGTGAATGACAAAGAGAAGCTGGACTAAATCTTTGTTCTAAAATCATTTTCTGGGAAGGCAGGGGAAAATATTTACAAATAGATTGCATAGCTGCATACCAAAACTGTGTGTATTCAGAAAATATTTTGTTATTAATAATTTGCTTGGATCAACATATTCCAAGTGTGAGCCCCAGGCCAAGGGAACCCATAGGGAACTGGTGTTTTATGACCTCATGTGGCAAGGAAATCTGTGTTTACTTCTGTTGACCAGAGTCAGAAAAGAACAGCATTTGAGAGGAAATAGAGAGAGGAGGAACAACTAAAACTGATCTCTCTGAGACATAATCTTGCTTTCTCAGGATTGACAAATTCTAAAAACTGTCCAGCATACATCAAATATTGTAAAAATGTATTAACATATATGAATGATTGCCGGAGGCCAAAGCATAACAAGCATTTGCATGAAAGTTCAAAAGAGACATTGGAAGGCCAATGGACTTTGATATTCAGCATGGCTGAATATCAGCACAAGTTTGCTCCTGCTGTGATTGCAATGGCTCAAGGTGATTTTCTGACTTGATAATCTTTACATTGTATACCAAACTTTACCTTTGATCTGCCTGTATGTATTGCCAAAGGGCAAATGTGTATTTAAAGTGAATAAAAGCAGATGGACCGGTCTCAGTGTTCCTCTTCATGAAAGAGGTTTCCACCTGGTCCCCCAATGTCTTCAAAATTCGTATTTCTTGTATAGTGTAGTCGTTGTGTTGTCGGCCCTCCTGCAAGTCATCCTGAACCCACCTTGAAGGTTGCGACAATTGATTTATATACTAGTATATCAAAACTATAACTGGGGAAGTTTAAATCATGTCCTATACATTTGACAAAATGTATTTTAGTTACTTAGAAAATGATAGTACACCAGCAGTCCTAGTTCCCAGGGGATCATGTGGCCTTTGACAATCCACCTGTGCTTTTAGAAAAACTGTAAATGCAAGTGCCAGGAGCTAATGCTGATCTCCATAGCAAAAGCAACTTGGGTCTGAGTGATCCAGCAGTATCCAGGAGCAGCTGGTGAACAAAACCTGGAACAGCCTTCCAATCACCATATCCAGGAAAGTGGGGAGAGAATTGGCATCACACTTACATATATTTCTTAAAGCCTGAAGGACAGAGCAGTCAATCATTTATGCATTGAAGAGAATAGAACAGGCCTCCAGGAGTTTAGCAGAGCTGAGGATGGACCTGGAGATATGTATGGAGAACAGAGCATCAGTGAACCATATAACAGCAAGAATTTGGCTGGGAATAAAATAAAAAAGAATGCATAATATGAAAGAATGATGTAAAATTGGGGAGCTTCTCATTGAGCATTTCAGTGTTCACATTAGAAAAAGGTTTTGAGAATAGAGGAATATGAGAAGCATCCCCAGATCAGGAATGACTAAAAAGCTAGTCCCAACATTTTATTTCAAAAATCAAAGGCTCATTAATCAACGTAAGATGGATACAAAACCTTGATAATCTGCAATGAAGATCTACGAAAAGGGAGATAAAAGCATATCTCAATGTCCTGGAATGAAAAGAAAGTGTTGATTTTAAGGACAGATGTGGCCCTGGATATTACTTGGCACCTGATACAAGAAGAAATATGTGATGGATTGCTACTTATAACAAATTGATACCAAGAGATAGCCATAAGAGAGGAGGAAGCCAATCTTATGGGGAAAAAAAGAAGAAGAAATACCAGTGTAAATGTCAACCAGGTAGCCTGCACATTGAAGGCAATATTGGGGGTGAAAGAAATGTGCCCTTTCTGTGCATGTCTGTTTATTTTGTACTTTATTGGTAATAGAACTTCTTTAGCCTTGTTGTTTAAAGTCACAAACCTTGAAAATCTGTTCCTACCCACCCCCCCAAAAAAGCATTAATATTACAGGATAAAATAAGAACTGTCTTAATATACCTTTCTGTGCTAAAGCTTTTATTTAATTTTGAATAACCATAAAGGGTGACCCATACAACTGGGCCAATTTTGTTTAAGCTCAAAGGCAGATGAAGAATGAGAACAATGTAAGATTCTAAAATAAAACAAAGGCAATAAAGAATATGAGCAGCAGAAAGCAATTTAGGGAGTAGCAGTGGCAGCTTCCAGAATGACACACGGGAGATTCCAAACTGTACAATAAAAGAAAGGCTAGCAGATGGCTTTGTCAGCTCAGCAGAAACCATAGGACAGAAATGAGTTCCTGAGTAAGTATTTTTGATAATTTGCAAATATCTTTTATCCACATGGAGGTTCCTGAGCTTATGATAGCCATTTCAAAATGAACATAGTGCTGGCTACTAAGAAGCATTTAGTCTAACATAGTGCATAGAGATCCAGGTTATGAGTGCAGGGCCAGAAATGGCTTACTTACCTATTGATCAAAAGAAGGCATGGATAGGAAAAGCCATCTTCTTTCCAACCTCTTAAGCCATATAAGTATACAGGTTGCTATTGAAGTTTGTACATATAGATAGATATGTACAGTTTGAACAAGACAGATGGATAGGTAGACAGATAGATAAGCAGATAACAAAAGATAGATATGGATGGCTGGCTGAATGAATGGACAGATAGATATCTACATGCACATGATATGTAATAAATGTTTTAAGTCATTAACATTCTAATAACTGATTGAATAGGAAATCTGTAGAGCAATATGGATCTGAATATGGACCTTAATATTTTGCATTCATCAGCTAATTGGCAAAGGATCCCTTAGGGAAAGAAACCAGGAGCACACTTAAGGTCAGTACAGGATAGAGTCGTTAAAAGAGTGGGGAGATATATCAACTCTGTGCACTTCTCTATAACTGAATAAGAGAATTGTCAAAAAAGGCAGAGGTTCTCAAAAATAGATGACATAGATGTATAACTATTGGTGTCTAAAGTCAATTAAAAAATCCATGATGTACAAAGTTGAAAATGAAGAAAATAAAGAGACAATACTGTAGAAGAGGGTCCTTTTGGAATATTAGGGATGTTAGATCAAAATTGGGAAAGAATATTCATTGTCCAAAGCATGTAGATAACTGAAGTAGACCTGGCATTTCCATAGCATTGGGTCTAGATAGCATCCAAAAAAGAGAAACCCATGCTCCCAGACCTATCGGGTGAAAACACCCCTACTCTCTACATAGTGCTCTCCAGGCCCTGCACCTGCACTTCTGTATTAGTGCTGTAGAGCACAACTCAGTCCACAATCAACCTGGTATATTTCACTTATACCACATGGAGAGAAAAAAAATGTACTTCTAATTGGCTTCATAATAAGTACTCATTAGTTCAGATCCTTTTGATTCATTAAGTGATAAAGAGTGAGCTTGCCTTCTTCCATCAAAGTGCTAAAGCTGTAGCTAGCAAAGTGTCATGCATCTTCCCTCTTATCTTTTGGAAGAAATTAAAATTACCTCAATGGAAAATCTCATTTAGATTTTGCTAATACATATTAAAATCTAAGAGGTGAAACAGTGTGAGCAATTGTGAGAGTCCCCAGGAGTGATCTGAGGGGCCAACTTGGGGCAACATTAGGATGATAAATTACTCTTCCAGGAAGTAACACTTAAGTTGAGTACAGATTAAGTCATGACAGTTGTACAGCATCTGCCATTTCAAGACTTGTTTTGTACTGAAAAACTCCAATGGTGATATCTAAGAGTTGAAAACAAAGGGAGAATGTTAATGCACCATATTGAATAGAATGGGTTTAAGTTGGACTGGAGGAGATATGGGTCTTCATAGCTGAAGAGTTATTGCAAACACCACAGAGGAGGCATCCAGGACCAAGGGAAAGATTTCAGAGAATAGAATGCTGGGTCCACTGTCCTTGTGCTTATGTTAGGCACCAATCTAACACTACCAAAGTTAAACAAATAGGTCCGTAGGTCTCAAGTAACTTCTACAAAGTGAGCCATGGGGATCCTCTCACAGTTTTCAGTGCATGAAAACTCCCTTGGAAGCAGCTAAAACAGTTTTTCTCTTGCTTCTGCTTTTACCTGGGTCTTAGGAAATGTCTCATGTTATCCTCACTGCAGTTTCTACAACACAACATTTCCTCAAGGCTATTCTAGGATTGTCCTACTTCTCATTTCCTGTGCAAGGTCATTAAGTGTTCTTAAAGAAATAGTAACAATGATGCCATGTGCATGCTTGTTGGGATTCAAACCAAGAAGTGTTTAGAAATCATTTGCGATCTGATAACAAAATATAATACATCCTTGTGTAACCAAACTGTTCTGGAAGGGAATACAGTACATGGGCTATGTATAACACAGTGCTCAAGCTCTCAGTCCACTGTGCTAAATGAAATAAACCTGGAAGGTAAAAGAGGCTGTAATTGGGTGTCTATAAAAGCCAGTAGCTAATGGTAGGGCAGGAATGAAAGTTAGTGAGTGGCAGAAGATGAAAGAAAAAGGAGGGTCAAGCAAACGGCATGAAATACTTTTACATTGAAAATGAAAAATCAGCCTGGAAATCTAAGAGGAAAAAACACAGATGAATGAAGTGCATCTGAAAGGTTAGGGACTATGGGGGAGAAGCTGAGAAAATAAAATATTTTGATAGTAAAATTTTAGATTCCTAGGGAATGAGAAGAGATAAGCAGGGGCCTTAGGAGGGTAGGAAATCAGGGTTGTATGCAGGTTGAGCAGGAAATTATTTCAGCCTAAACTAAAGTCAGAGTGGAAGTGAGAAAGAAAGCACTCTGTTTGTAAGATTTCTATTCAGGAAGTGGAGCAAAGGTCCCATGGGAATGAATGTAGCTCGAGGAGGAAATGGAGAAATAATAGATGAATACAAGCCCCTGAGTTTGGGAAGCAGGGAGTGTTATTGACAGTCAAGACGCGAAAGAAGGTGTCTTAAAAAGGAAACAAACAGGGTTCATTTTTAGGTTAGTCATTTAATGTATGAGGAGAAACATTTAAAAGTCAAGACTTGAGGGAGGATGTGTTTAGGAAATAGAGGGCAGAGGCGATGGCTACACCCAAGAGATGACGCCACTTACTCCACAAATGAAGAAGAAACATTATGGGCTGAATTTACCAAGAGGTGAAAACATGAAAGACATGAGTATGATTGCCTGAGAGTTTGTGAGATGGCTTTGGTAGTGTGTTGTTGTTTTTTTTAGATTTTCTTGTTTTCTGTGCATCTACATCTGTGTACCTTTCAGTGCATTTGTTTGAGTCACAAAACTTGCAGAATCTGCTTTTTGTAGATTGAAAGAATGAATCTGATGATTATGGTACAGTGAGGATGGAAATATATAGAGAAAGGTTTTGACTAAGTAAGAATTTTTGTGTGTCAAAGTGAATGAAACTTTATACCAGTAAATAACTAAGAGGAAGACAGAATAGGAAGCGGTTAAGATTTTGACAAGACAAACAACATGCTGATTTTGAAAGTACAAAGGAAATGGCAAAAACAGTGTGGCAGAGGACAGGATGTGAAGAAATGGAAGGAAAGTGGTGGTAAGGGACAGAAGAAAAGGACAAGTGTTCGGGAAGAAATTGGGGGGAAATGTCTAGGGAATCAGAGGCAAATGTTTTAGACAAATGACCCAGATGGCCAGGGCCACCTCTCAAACAAAGTTAATCTCCACCCCATTCTTCTCAGCAGTTAAAGGAAGAATCAGCATGTGAAGATTGCACAAGAAGAGAAGTTTCTAAGAGTTAGAGGCTAAGATGAGCAGGGTATTGATGAATAAAGTGATCAATAACCTAGAATTGATGCAGAAAGTTGTTGCTGAGGCTGCATCCAAAATTTTTCAGATTGAAGAAAAGAACCATATGGGACTCATGGCTTGAGTCTGGAATCTAAGTAAATGGTATGAATACTGATCAAGAGACAGAGAAGCAAGTTTTGCTCAGCTTGTATGGCTCAGTGATTGAGCATTGACCCATGCACCAAGAGGTCATCGTTCCATTCCCAGTCAGGGCACATGCCTGGGTTTGGAGCTTGATCCCCAGCAGGGGCATGCAGGAGGCAGCCAATCAGTGTTGATGTTTCTCTCTCATGGATTTTCTATTTTTCTCTCCCTCTTCCTTCTCTCTCTAAAATCAATAAAAACATTTTTAAATGTTTTTAGTTTTTTAAAAAAGAGACAGAAGCAAGTTTTC